TAAAGTAGTCTACTTTATATCCAGTTGAAAAACAGCTATAGAAATTCTTAAACATAAAATAATATCAGCATAGTTCACATTATTGTCGTGGCATTTGGCAGTTGAAACATTTATTGAAGTCATTCATAAGACATTGTAGGAATAGGAATATAAACATGCATTTTCTGTCAAGTGTGAAGTGTTGTACCATCATGTGAACAGGAAACTACTTGACACAGCAATGCACTTTGTGATAAAGTTAATAAAAACAAAAGGCTGGAGGTCAATGACAGCTCCTTCATTACAGTGGTAGTGTCTGTCATGTGTTCAAAGCCTCGGGTGTAAACATGACACATGAGGCTAGAGAAGGAATTTGATAAGATGGTCTCTGGCAAACTGTACAGTCCCACCCCCAACGCTGTTATGTAATACACTGCTGCTGCTGCTGCTGCTCAGAGGGGAAAAAAAGCCTGCTGTAAATCCTCATAGCAGCTTCCCATTCACTGCCTGTACTGACATTCAAATACACAGTCTAAGCATCTGAAGCCTGCAATAACAGTACAACCGAGCAGCTGTCCATGACACATTATTAAAGTGCATGCAGAACAGGCTCATGCATGGACATTAGGTCAGTGGACAAAAGTTTTGGCACTTTTAAACTTGAGGTTAGGCAATTGACAATTGACTCACCTGTCAGTATCCTGTCAGTAAGAGAAAAACAGCTCACTTGTGGTAGATATCCATCTTGAACACAAGAAAATGGATAGAGAATTATATATATATTTATATATATAATTCTCTATCCACTGGCCAAAGAAATGCCAAAGAAAGAAATACTAAGGAAATGAAACAAAAAAGAAGAAGTTGTCAAACTCATACATTGTGATGCTGATGTCCACCGGAGTCCTCTCCCTGCTCCTGGACACACGGTCGCTCTGATCAAGTACTGAAAGCATCCATGCTGCTTGTTTGCGTAGCCACGCCCCCGCCGCCGACATGTTAATGAGTGTGTCATTGCGCTGAACAGCTTGGTGGTGACGCAACGGCAGTGGTTTAGCCAATCCCGTGCCGAGACACGTGTTTGGGTGGTGACGTCCGACAGTCCACGTGAGAGGCGCATTCGGCTCTAGTAGGGTGCCTTTAACTGCTGTTGTAAATATCAGAGCTGGACGTTGTGTTGCTCACAGAGAAAGTGACAACGTCGACCGGATATCATATTGCTTTTAATATTTAAATAAAAAATTAAATGCCCCACAGTTACTTTATTTTACCGTTTGTCATTTGACATATTGGATAGAAAGGACACTCTATATCTATATCTGCTTCACGTGTAAGGTGCGATTAGGCCAGACATCACCCACAGCATCAGGACCTGAGATGGTGATACATCCCAAGTTTACCAAATCACCATATTTACAAGGGAATGACCTATCTGTTAATGATGAATTGTCCTACCAAATAAACTCAATTTGTAGTTTTGAACTTAGTAGTTTTGTAATCAGTGCCATCAGGACATTTGCTGTGTTCCTCTCATGTAGGCTTGCATCTTTAATTTCCCACACAACGCGAATGTCTCACCCATTAATGTGTGTGTGTTCACTGTAGAAGAGCTGATTATTGCCTGACATTTTCCAAGACTCCCATTGTCCGCTTGTCTTCCCACAGGACATGCAGAGTAGGAGACAGTGGGTGTGTGCGGCAACATGTGAGGCAGGCGGGTGGAGGCGTGGTCGCTCCCGGGCAGCACATGTTCCCTGCTGGGGGAATGTTGAAAAGCACCGTGAGGCTCCCGTGTTTCTGAGACCGGAGCACACAGCAGCCCTACACCGTCTCTGACAAACAGCACAGACAAAGACAGACACAGTGTTACCTGGTTACATAAATGTCTCACACTCTCCCTGTTTGGATATTTATTGTTTTGGTTGTGTAGGCCTATTTTGAGGAGAAGCACTGTATGCACATACTAATACAGTAAGTATGGACATATGATTTTCAGTCTTACCTCGGATGTAATCAGGTCGGCATGGGTCTAACTCATCCAACCAGTATGGATAAACACTGAACACTGGACAGTGGAGATGAATGTGAAAGGATCATGGTTTAACCTATAGAACATTTTTTAAGTTTTCAGAAATCAGTGTTCTCTGTTTTGATGCACTGTTTTAGAAACTACACTTAACAAACATTTCAATGCAACTTCTGTTTTTGCTCCCTTGTTTCACAGGTTTAAGTTAAAGATTTAATATGTTTTGCACAAATTTTGGTCACAAAGGTGTCAAACCTTTTCCAAGATAATCCATCCACCTGACAGGTGTGGCATATCAAGCTGCTCATGAAGCAGTGTCATTACTACACAGGTGTGCCTTGGGATGGTCACAATAAAAAGCCACTCTTAAATATGCAGTTCAATTACATAACACAATGCCACAGGTGTTTTGATGGAGTGTGCCATTAGCAGGCTTTCCCTGAATTTGGCAGTACATCCAACCGGCCTCACAACCGCAGAGGTCAGTTGTGATGACGTACTCCTGTCAGGTCAAACACTGATGAAGAAGATGAGCTTCCATGAAGCAGTTTCTGACAGATTGTGCAGAAATTCCGAAGTTGTGCAAACCCATTTTTGCATCAGCTGTATGGGTAGCTGGTCTCAGATGGTCTTGCAGGTGAAGACACTGGATCTGGAAGTCTGGAGCTGGTGTGGCTACATGTGGTCTCCAATTGTGAGGCTTTTTCGATGTACTGCCAAACAAATGGCATTGGAGGCATTGTAGTGAAATGAACATTCAGTCCACGGGCAACAGCTCTGGTGGACATTCCTGCAGTCAGCACCTCCCCTCAAAACTTGTGACATCTGTGGCATTGTGTTGTGATCACACTGCACATTTCAGAGTGGCCTTTTATTGTGACCATCCTGGGGCACAACTCTGTAGTAATGATGCTGTTAAATCAGCATTTTGATATGCCATACCTATCAGGTGGATGGATTATCTTGGAAAAGGAGAAGTGCTCACTACCACAGATTTGAACAAATTTGTGCAATAAACTTGTGAGAAATATGTCTATTGATTGCATTAAAAAATCTGGGAGTAAAAACAAAAGTGTTGTGTTTCAGTTACTGAAAATATATGACAGATTTCCAATTTACAAAACCATGTTCCAAATAATGTCTTCTCAAAATTCTAATACAATCAGTAATATTATACTGAAACAGTGCATCAAATCACAAGTTCAAACCTGCAGTCATTTTGTGGTGATAAACAAAACAGAAGATCAAATAAACAAAATATTTTGGTAGGACATGTCTTCCATATTTTTTTTTTACATCAGGCCATTGATTTTCATCCACATGACCTGATATATTATCATCTCTGGTCAGACAATTTGGATAATGGATTGTTAATGTGTCATAATCTGCCAATCTCAATTGTTCTCAAACAGCACTGTAGTCTGAGGGACCTCCACATTGATCAATAGAGAATGAGAAGTTGACTTCATGCTTGCTACGGTGGTCAAGCAACAGTATTTAGACAAACTAATCATGATTAATAAGACAGATCCATATGACAGGCTAAGGCTGGATTATAGACCCAATACACTACCTCCACTCACATACCCAACATTGTAAATGATCTCCTTTTTGGACTGAGTGGATACAATTTGATAACAGAAATAACATCATGTACCTCACAGGATGGCGCCCCCGCTCCATATGGTGTGACATACCTTCACATTTGATGTAATACAATACAATATGACATTTAAACAGATCAACTGCATCCAAGTGCTATACCTCTGCATATTCTTATGCAATGAATGAGCCAACACAACCAGAAAATATTTCTCCGAGTCACTCGTGTTCAATGTTCTGCACACCATGTTTTCTATGTGATGGTTGTGTGAAAAGAGAACTGCTCAAAATAAACCAAAATCATTAAAAGTGATTGCATTTAGTTGTGATCACTGCATCCCTGCAGTCAGCTTCTGAGCGTCTTTGGCAGAGGTGCATCAAGTCAATGGGGAAAAACTGTTAAGTTTAAAATGTCTCCACCTCTGTTCCTGATATATAACGCTGAGTACTGGCCAGTGTGTGTTTTTGAAAAACATAATGATGTCACAGTGAAGTTGATGGTTGACCTTTTGGACATAAAATATCAATTCATCATTACATCCTATTGGACATTTGTGTGAAATTTTGTCATAATTCGACCTTTGACTCTAGAATAAACTAATTAGAATTTGGCAGTCACAGGAGACATTTGTGCCAAATTTGAAGAAATTGCAGGTCACACTGACCTTGATCTTCACCACAAAAATCTGATGAGTTCATTGATCTTCTTCATGAGAATGGGATGCACGGATGTGTGAACATATGGATGTATAGACGAACAGTGCAGAGACTACTATGGCTTTCAGGAGAGCCCTATTGTTGGGGGGTGGGAGGGTATTGTTCACATGCATGCTCATACATTAATATGGCCATGTTTAACAACAAACAAAAAAACAGAACAATTGTTCAATAAATGAACGATAGCAAAAATTTTGTCACGTGTCGACGCATTTTAGACCTATGTTGCGTCAACACCTACAGAGATGAATTCACTGTTCTGTTACACAACATGGAAAGTTATCCATGATGTGTAAGATTACAGCAAAAATTAATTTCATTAAACACAACAAAATTCAATGACTTTTCCAAACCTTTCAAGGATTTAACTAAGACCATGACTTTTCCTGGCCAGGAACATGAGATTTAGAAATCCCATGACTTTCCCAGGTTTTAGTGATCTCAGACTGGCTATTTGTAACATCTGCTTCATGCCGTTTCAACACGGGAGTGAAAAGTGACAAGGCAGGAAACCTGCAAAACTAAGGGTGAGGAAGGCAGGACTAACAGTACACTCTGTGTCTTAAGGTAAACAGTTGTTTATCTACCACCGCGTTCACAAAACCAAGAGGAGAAACAAACCCTCAGCACCTTATAGTGGTGGGATGAAAAGAATCAAGACACAACATGTCCAGGATGTATTATGACAGTTAAAAATGTGTATTGGATCACTGTCTTTCAGAATTACATTCATAGACAAATAGAAATGAATTGTTTGAATAGAATAATGCAACTGAAAACATACATTTCTTTCAACCATTATGAATTTCCTTAATTTGAGACTATTGGTAAAAGAGGTTCAGGATACAGGAAGGATGAGGGAAAACAGCAAGTTGAGGAGTAAAACCAGCAGAAAAACATGATAGAAGGCTCTGTGAGCAACGGGAAGCTGAGCGGGTGATCTGCACCTGCTCTTTATTTATTACCAGTGACTCAACAGTGTAGCACCAATACAATGTTGGGTGCATTTTCATGTACAGTATAACACCCAGTATTGCAAATCTTAACGGTTCACCTCCCCTTTTTACCATTTAATGTTGTGCAGCGATTAATAATAAATGGGAAGAATTGAAAATAATAAGAAGACATCCTTGCAAGTCACCATTGCACACAAACATAAAATCTCACAATGGACCATGTTCATGATTTCCACAGCTCCCTGGATGATTTCTTAGCGCTCCAGCTAAAATATGTCAGATTAAATCTGGTAGCACAGAGGGTCTGAAAAGCAGCAGTGGTGGATGCACTGAAACATTGTAAGCACACTAAGATTTACAAGACACACGATAGCCAGCAGGACATTAAATATACTCAGCCACAACTTCAAACTTGAAAAGTCTCTAACAGGTAAAGCATAAAATGGTGAATGATGATCTGAAGACGGACTACTTTCATAGAAAGGCTACAAAGATACATCATAACAAATATTAGAAATATTACAGAAATAGCTTTGAATGCTAAGAAAGGATGACACTCCAAATATGAACATGTACTCTGAAAGTGCTATTAATTCAGTTTGGTGCTGTTTTTTTCCCCCAATAGTAGTGCTGATTCAACACCTTTGTTTCAGTACAGATGCAATACCATAGCGACCCTGACACAATTGTTGCCCCCCTGGTGAAAATTATTGGAGGCCAACATTACTTTATCTTTATCTTTTTTTTACTATCACTTTATGAGGCTGATGCGCGCACATTTTTAAGCTAGCACAAAGGTAGTGGTATCTTGGGAAACCAGACAAAGTAAGTCATCCTTTGGTACCAACCATATTGGCATAGCTTGTCGGGAAGGGGGCTAATTAACGCTTCAAAATCTGGCTAACGGAACAACTGGCAGTCCCTTACATTTCACTTCAAGATATCTGAATTAAAATGGGTTCTATGGGTACCCACATGTCTGTCCTAAGCTTGAGAAGACTTGTTCACAGTAAATGTTTTGTTCCTGTAATCCTTCAAATTAAAACTGTAAATTTATCTTTTTAAGGAACAAGACAATCAGCCTATTTGAAGAACAGTGAATCACCTAACATATATAGATACCTAACATATCAAAACAGGACTGTTGTGGAACTCAAATTGTTAGCTGTTCTGGTATTAATCTCATAAATAGCAATATTAACTGTCTAATAAGAGACCAAAGTACATCAGTATGCAGTTTCTTACCTCTCTACTTCAACAGCATAGTCGAATTCCTGAATTCAGTTATGGCTTTTGGTTTTGGTGTATCACCCCAAGATTTTCAGTGGCCCCATCTGGCCCCCCCATAAAAAATTCTGGGGGGGCGCTACTGATACGTTACTTTGATGGTTCTAACATTTTCCCCCTCAGTTAACCAAAATAAAAGACAAAGTTCTGAAATGTTAAATGTTGTCTACACTCATGCAGCTGTGTAAGAACTTTGTCAAAATCAAATAGTCTAATCTGGCCAATGGTTTATGTAAATCAGTCAACAGGATAATGACTGACCAGACATTTGATGCCAGCTTTTGGTATCTCACAGTTTTTGACACTCGGTGCAACAGACACATATTCATGAGATGTTAAAAAAAAATTCCAGGAAGCTTTCAGCTACATTAATGAACATGGTCCATCTGAGAAAAATGAGGTCTACTCTGATCACTAAGTGCTTATTAAGCCTCTTAATCATGTGGATGGTGTGTATTTTGCTGATCAAGTAGGATCAAATATGTGTTAGAATTAAAAAAATCTTGTTTTAAAAAATAACATGTACACCTTGTGCATTAAGGTATTCCCAATTCCCAATAATTGACATGTCGCACTTGACAGATCTGTTCACAAAAGTTCAAATTCTGAGATGAGAGGAAACTAATAAACAAGTGATTTGTTTTCATTGCATACAGTTTATAAAGGACAGCCTCTCTCTCTAACATGTCTTGCTCTACTCAAAGCTTGTCTCCGCGGAGACACTTTGATCATCATCTGTTATCAATTAATCTGTTGTTCCTGATGCACATCGGGCAAGCGTTGTATTAAGACACACACAAAACCTCATGCTCGCACAGACTCACTCCAACTAAATTGATGACATTCAGTTTGAATTCGATGCCCCCCTTTTTTTTTCTCGAAAAAAGAACAAAAAAAAAAAGAAAGATAAAAGATCCACACACACACACCTAAAAGAAAAACACCCAACAAACTACCACGCTTCTTCCTCCCTCATATAAACTTGTCTATCACCAGTGGTAATAGCTAGTTCTGAAGAAGAGCACTTGGAAACATCATGAAGGAACTGTATGGCTTCTCATAAGACCATAAAAGGGAGAGCATTAAAAATGATCGGTGGTTTACAGTCTGAAAAAGCAGCAGTAGTTGTTTAGAGGCCATCCATTGGTGCTACAGACATTGTGTTGTTGAGTTGTGCTGCTGACCATGCGAGGTACTGAAGTCCAGTTTGATACAGTACAGCCAGTGTGGCCAGGCTTTGTCCATAGTGTGGACGAAGGGGTTTTCTATAGAACAAAATGGCCACCAGCCGAGGCACTTAGATCCTGATGGGATTAAAACCTCATTGAATATGGAAGTTCTGGTCATTTTATAGCTGTAAGGATGTGGCCAAGGTGTTCATGCCTCATGTTGTTCGTGTGTGTGTGTGTGTGGCAGAGATGCTATCACTCTCTTATGCTGGCAGAATAGGAGAACTGGGGGAAATGTGCTTGCTGGCCTGAGTCGTCACAGTCCAGACTGTTATCTGTAAGAACAAGAAAGCAGAAGTCAGCCGTCACATTCCAAGTCAAGAAACCAGACCTTGATCAGGAACAGTGGTGGATCAGGAGCTGACAGAGTGTCACTGTCCAGATCTGAAACCACAGCCACAGGACACTTACACTTGTCTGGAGGAGTGAGTGTGATGGTCTGTGCTGTGAACTCGTCATCAAAGTACCGGGTGTCTGTCTCTGATGTTACTTGTGGTCTGAAGAGTGGGTTGAGCTGATGCAGGAAGGGGAGAAGATTGGTGAAATGTAATTAGATTGGGAACATTATAAAATGACTGCATGTAGCCTCGGGTCTCTGATGCAAGCGGCTTTTTTCACCCACTGCCTGCATACTTTGTGTTCATCTGAGGTATTAACTAGAATTACTGCCTCGCGGTTGTATGTCTCTGTAAACCAGTCAAGTTGCAGTTACAGTTTACGTCCATGTCTGTAAAAACGTGAATACTTCACACACATCTTCCTCCCAGCAGCAGAGGATCTATACAATCAACACATTTTCAAGGTGGGCACCAAAGATTAGTGCCACCAATTCAGCATCTGATCAAATGTCTCCCATTCTGTTCGAGTTATGACACTATGATGACAGTGAAGTTGACCTTTGATTTTTTTGAATATGAAATGTCATCACTTCATCATTTTATCCTATTAGACATTTGCATTTAATTTTGCCATTATTAGCGTATGAATTCTTGAGTTGTGGCCAAAAATATGTTTTGAGAGGTCACAGTTGTCTTGACCTCTGGCCACCAAATTGCAGTTTATTTTTTCAAATTTAAGTCCAAGTCCAAGTCCAAGTGGATGTTTATGCCAAATTGAGGAAATTCCCTCAGAGCCTTATTAAGATATGGCGTTCACGAGAGAGACTGATACAAGGTCAGACTGACCTTGACCTTTCACCCCAAAATTCTAATCAGTTCCTTGTTGAGTCCGGTTGGAAGTTCGTGCCATATCTGGAGAAATTTCGTGAAGGTGTTCTTAAGATGTCACGTTCACAAGAATGAGACAGATACAGGTCCCAGTGACCTTGACCTTTGACCACCAAAATCTAATGAGTTCATCATAGGGTTGCAGCGATATACAGGTTTCAAGGTAAACCGTGGTATGAAAACTGACGGTTATCATACCATGTACATTTGCTTATTTACAGTGTTGAAAAAAATGCAACTGGATGAAGAATCTCACCTTTATTTTAGTTATTTTCAAAAGGCTTTTTAGTCATACTTTCATCAAACAAAAAAAAGATCCAAATTTCAATTATAGTATTAAATTATATGTTTAACTTAAAAAAGCCCTTTAAGGGTCATTGTAACTGATAGTAATATTAAGTCTGCAATACTGTGATACCGCAGAATTTTCTGAGATGGTCATCATACCGAGAAAATCTCATACCATTGTAACCCTAGTTTCTTGTTCAGTCAAGTGGATGTTTGTGCCAAATTCCCCCAAGGCGTTCCTGAGATACCATGTTCATGAGAATTGGACAGATGGACGGATGGATGTACATACATACGTACCTATGTACGGACAACCCGAAAACACAATGCCTCCAACAATGGCTATCGGTGGCACAGAGGCATAAAAATATATCCAACAGGGGGAGATCAGAGCTGTATCATTCCGACACTGTGATTTTCTTTGAGAACTCTGAATTTTTTTTTTACAACATAAACATAACTACACACAGCTGCACTCAACAGGGTTACTATGTTGTTAATGTCATCCTTCATGACTGAGCCTTCATTGAGAACTGTTTATCTATCTTATGCTCCCAATTTGGACATTTAAAAGCTGCTAGAAGCAGTTAGCAGCTAACTCGAAGAAGAAGAACAGCAACTAATGACATCCACGAATTGGGGAGACAATGAGGTGCGGGCACTCCTTACTCTCCAAGCAGAGGACGAGATCAACCACCATATAACAGAGATGGTAAATGATTGTTATGCAATTGTTATTGTTTAGAAAGCACTGCCAGATTGCACGATATATGTCATGCTAGATGCCAATGCTGTTGTGTTAGACGACACGCCCATCATGACTCTTTTGCTTCTGGAATGTCAGCATGTTGTCAAAAAGTACACACTGGAGCAGCATTCTGCGAACGTTGTTTTGTTCTGATAAAAAAGCAAAGCCAGCAGGATGTAAGGTCTTCATTGCGGCAGTACTGTGGCATCTCTGTGTAAAAAAAGGCTTGTGACTTAAAAGCAAACCTCCGTTTCACTTCCTCTAGCATGAGAATATCTTACCTTCTTCTGTACCACATCCTGCCAGTTGATGGTGATGAAAAATTTGTGACTCATTACTTCTTTGGCATCATTGGGACCTCCACCCAGCCTGTCAGTCCAAAAAATATCATGTAAGAATTAAGCAGGTATTTCCAAAATTAATACACACACAGGATCAACCCTGACACATACCTCTGTTTGGGGTCCTTCTTGAGCAGGCCAGCCAGCAGGGACTTGGCCTCAGGTGACAGGTTCCTGGGGAAGCGGATCTCCTCCATGAGGATGAGTTCAAACAGACGCTCATGGTCCTGGTTGTAGAAAGGCAGACGGCCGCACATCATCTCATACATGACTACACCCAGACCCCACCAGTCTACTGCCCGGCCATAGTCATTATCTTCTAGGACCTGTGAAACAGACATTTGCCTGATTAAAAATTATTTCAGGAACAACAGGCTCAGATGCATCATGAACAGGTTGCTTTTATTCCGAAGTTATTATACATGCTCTTACTGAAATGCTTGTTATATAGTATCAAAAAAAGGTCTTTTTTGAAGTAGAGGCTACAGCTTGCGGTGGTGTTTTAAGTGTTGGAACAAATTCCTGGTACTGCTACCTTTAGCAGCAACCCATTTGTGCCATATTTTGCAGAGGATAGTAATTTGTTCCACATCTGCTCCCCTGAAACCTACACATTTTAAATGTTCCACTTATGAGCTGGAGACAAGAGTTAAGTTCTTGCATGCAGAGAAAATGCACAGATGTGTTGTAGTGTCTCAGCTAAAACACTAAACAACTTAGAGAGGCACCCGAAGAGCACAGACCTCCACCAAGGCCAGAAGTCAAGTCTTTTATGATATGCAAGTCTGCAAGCACAACCACGATGTACGTCTGGATATATACCAGGAGATCTATTTCAAAAACTGTCAAAATTATGTAAAAATATGGTCATTTGGACTTTTAATATGTACTTCTTAATTCTAAATATCTATTTTTTCAGTAAGATCTCTTGTGGAGTTTATTGCAGAAAATTTAAATGTGGATGTGAGTAAGAGTTTATTCAGTTGTATGATATGCATGCATTTAAATTTCCATAGCCATACCTTAGTTTAAAAAAAAAATAAAAATAGCATTGTTACAACTGTGGCAGTAATACAAAAGTGTACCTATTCTACCACGACACCACTGTACCTGAGTGCTCCATAACAACTGCTTTCTGCATGATGTTTACATGTGTAGGTTTGCCCAGAGGACTACTAGTACCTGTGAATTTGGATATAGTCATCATTTCTGTGACGGTTATGAATTGTAACTATTGAACTTTACTACCATCTACTGGCTATTAAGATGTATGGCATTTATTCAGCTGAGTGATACTCTTGAGTATACAGAGTATACCCACAGTCTGACTTTCTATTAGTCAAAAGGCCATTGGAAGATAGAATGGTAACCTACTCATCTACCTCGTAGCACATCCACCTCATCAACTGCCACTACACCACTGGCTGTAACCTATGCTCTATCTCGCAATGTTAATGAAATAGAGAAATAATTTGTGTATTGGCCCCAAGAATCAGATCCATTCCAAAATTTAAAGGGTCCTTCCTGGCCCATGGTACAAGTTTCCATAAGGACTTATGAAAATTAGGCAAGTAGTTTGTCTGTCATCCTGCAGACAAACAGACAAACAAACCAAACTCTAAACATAACCTCCTTGGCGAAGGTAACAAAGGAAAGACATTTTGTAAACTGTATGATGACATGTTAATGATAAGATCCAGGGGAAATGAAAGCACAGATGACAAATTGAGGTTATTCTAAATATGTAAATTTCAGTAATCTTTTTCTATAAATGCCTTCTGTTTGTTAAACCTGGCATTCTCAGTTTTAGATAACCGCAAACATTCAAACATGTGTGATTAACATCCAAATTTACAATCTTCTGCATGCACAGTGTATTCTCCCATCACATGTGCAGCACCCACCTCTGCCAACACTACTGCACTGTCTGAGCCAAAGGACCCAGTGCTTCTTATGTAACTTTTAACTATATTACTGGAGTAAATATATTTTAAAATTCTTATGATATTTAATTTAACCAGCAGACAGCAGCCCAAGGCAATGTACACAGATAACTTAACAACTTGTACATTTTGCTGCTAACAGTTACCATGTGGGATGTAGCTTGATTAAGCATGCTAATTCAGGAGTTTTAATTAATCTATTCCCATTGATTTTTCCCTTTCTTTTTTAAGTTCGTTATTTACTTCAAACCTTAAGTTTACATACAGCCCTCATTGTTGCCACCTTTCCCCATTAGTTAACTTGCCAGCTAGCTAACTCACCACATCATGTTTCACATGCTATATAATAAGACAAATGCATGTATTATATCTGCATATATTATGGTAAAGATTAGTTTCTATCTGCATGTCATGGTAAATACAGCCTGAGCAAATGACCCTTTTATTAATGTTATTTCCCATTTATACCCATAAATTCCAGTTAATTCCCACAGAAAGTTTTAACTTGAATATTCCTGGAATTTTGAAACCCCGGTTACAATGCTGTTAAATGGGCATACTTTTTAACAAAACATGTCACAAGACCTGGTGTAATTTCCCCTTCACATAATTTCACTATTCAAAGGTGCGGTTTTTATATTGAAATTATACAAAAATTGAAAAATTCTAGAGCTTAACTTCCCTTAGAAATTTTCGATTTTTTTTTCCTGACCCTTTGCAGCCCTAGCAGGGCTCGAAAATACTTTTGTCTGTACACACGAACAGCTGCATGTAACTATTGAAATTAGATGTGCCATCTTTTTTTTTTTACCTGCACCAAAAATATGTTTTACCACACCATTCTGGTTGGGACCAGTCTGGCCCCACTGGACCCGTACAGTAATGTAGGGTGAAACTACTTCATATTTTATATGGTCATAGGAACATATTCAGAAATAAATAAACAGATAAATAAATTGATATCACTGACTGAAAACTGATATTACACACATTGTTATCATATATAGTTATATGTATATTTACATTTCATGAAAATATACTGTAGGTAATGGAGACACTGAGTGTGTGGGAAAATGTGACTGCTTGTCTAGAGGTCAAAAACTGTGCTGTACATGTGCCACCCAGTCAGTTTCAGTGCCTCACCTCAGGTGCGAGATATTCCGGAGTACCACAGAAGGTTTTCATGGTAGCATCTGGGGTAATTCCCTCCTTACAAAGACCGAAATCGGTGATTTTGATGTGACCGTCTTTATCCAGCATCAGATTCTCCAGCTGAGAGTGGAATGACATACACATCAGATGTAACTCTTAAGATCATGGATCTAATGACAGATTCTGGGGTAAGAATTTATTATTTTAACAAATACAACAGATCATTTGATTAGGTCACTGATAGGGCTGTAACACTTCATGTATTTGCGCTAAACTGTCACAGTACAGTCTGGTGCACACAGCTGCACGCATAATACACAGTATGTAGAGTGATGCACTCAATGCAGAACTAAATTCCACAAGATTCACAAACACTGATTTTTTTTAATGTGAAACTGCTTTGTTTAGTGTTTATAGCAGTTTGGATCACCATTTGTTTTGGAGAGGAAAAGACCTCTGCAGATAATGTGGCTCCTGGTAAAAACCTCCTGAACATCTGGATCAGAAATTAGGTAAGCACACATTAGCAGGTGCTAGGCTAGCAACCCATCTGCAACAAAGTGAACAGCACTGGAGAAACTGATTTTTTTTTTTAACACGAAACTGCTTTATTCAGTGTTATACCAGTTTTAATCACCAGCTCCATGTTTTGGAGAGGAGACCTCTGCAGATAATTTATCTCCCCCCAAAAAACTTAACAATTAATACTGAAGGAATTCCAACTCTGAGAAGTTTCAGCTGGTTGCAAACTGTAATCTTTATCGGTACATGCCGCTAAATCCCCCTTAATCTTACACACTGTTCCTTGAAATTAAGACTGAATTTTTGTGGCAGTTGGTTGGCACTCCTGTCACTTCGAGGCTTACTGGCCAAATGTGTAAGTCCACTTGATACGATTGTTACATGTCAACAACCAGCACAAGTTTTCCTACATTTTTACTAAAAACAATTCATAAAGAGCAAAAATTTTGAGAGATAAAGCAACTTTAACATAAATTTATCTGAAGATTTTACTGCTCCCCTCCACTCTAGCTGTTATATCCCCCACCAAACATTTAGTCCCATACATACCTATTTTAAAATTTGAAATGGTCTTTAAAAAAATCTTAAATTTGTAAAATCCGTGCTGGGTATCAAAATGGCCAGTGAGCCGAATAAAGTCCCATGTCATGTGAGCTGTTTAAGAAATTAGAAATTAAACTTTGATTGATGTATTAAAACAATTAACACTGCAACTGCTATTTAAAGCTTCTAAATGCTTGAGCCCTTTTCTAAGAAGTCATCTTTATTGAACCTTTTAAAATGTCCAAGTAAAATCTAAAATGAGAATCCTTCACATTATCTTCTCTGAAGTCATGATACAAACCCTGTATGGATACTGTATATTTCAGAACTGATGGGAGTATTCACCTTCAGATCACGGTAAACAACGTCACGTGAATGGAGGTACTCGAGCGCTGACACAATCTCGGCACCGTAGAAGCGAGCCCGGTCTTCTGTGAACACTCGCTCCCGTGACAGGTGGAAGAAGAGCTGAAAGAGGCGAGAGCATATGGAGTCAGGACTCACCTCTTAGAGAAGATCTGTTTGTGCACAGCAAGCTGTTGACAACTAGTGTTATTAATGTATCTCCATGTGACTGTGCATGTGAGGTCTCACCTCGCCTCCATTGGCATATTCCATTACAAAACAGAGTCGATCGTGGGTTTGGAAGGCATATTTCAGTGTCTGCAGGAAGAAGCAAAAAGAGGATTTCCACACACTTACATCTGTGCAATACTTCACTTTAGTGTTTAGTGTCTGCAGGAAGAAAATGGTAACAAATTACAGGTAAATACTAACAAACAAATGTAAGGGTTGCCCCCTAAATGAGGATGATTCACATCATCAGTTGTGGAGCTCCTGACTTCAGTTTAAGATGCTTGACTCAAAAAGCGACTAGAAGTACCACTTTGTTGTTGTATGCCTCCACAAACCCATCAAGTTTCAGTTACAGTTTACATTCATGTCTGTGAAAACATGGATGCTTCACACACATCTTTCCATCTCATCTTCACATCTTTCTAATTGGTTCATCATTAGGCCCGTTTCCACTGAAGAAGTTCCTGGTACTATTTGGGGGGCAGGAACTACTACAGGAACGTCCTCTCGCTCGGCCCTCTCAACCGCTGTGTCTCCACTGAGAGAGCGGAGTACAAGAAAGTTCCTGTAAAGTTACGGGCTGCCTCTGGATGTGACATAAATTGTTGCGCGACCATTTTGCCCGGGGCGACGTAGGGACGCCGTTAGCTGACAGCAGTGTCTGTAATAACTCACTAAATGGCCCGTGAAAAAAATATTTTTTCCAGCGGATGTCTTAGTTACAACATGATTGAGCTAACTGGAGTAGTTTCATGTCATATCCGACAATGGGAGGCTTTTAACAGATGACGTCCTGCTGTTAGCCTGCTGTTAGCTGTCCCTGTCAGCTGATGCTTTCTAGACATCGTGATTTCCCAAAACTGAATAAATACCACACATATCAACACAAAACTGCTTTGCTAGCTCAATCATGTTGTAACTAAGATATCCACTGGAAAAAAATATTATTTTCACGGGCCATTTAGTGAGGTTTTTTTTTTTACATGGCAGCGGAAGCTATATAAACGAGCTAACCCTCGTCTGCTGAGTTTTAAAAATGCCGGCTATTTTGTTGCTTTCTGTTGTCGTCACATCCCTCCTTGAGTATATCCAATCAGCACCAAGTAATCCCCAAGCCCCAGCCAGGAGTCTTTCGGGGCCGTTCTGAGTACCTACCCCGAGGCAGGGGCTTGTTTAGCCCCTGTAAAAGTTCGGAACTCTGTCCTTCGGGGATGGTTCCTGCGGTGGAGACATGCACCGACGGCCCCGGCCCCGTAAAATTACCCCCAAGTTCCTGCGGTGGAAACGGGCCTATAGAGTACAAGTGGACGTTTGTGCCAAATTAAAAGAAATTCCCTCAAGGTGTTCCTGAGTTATTGTGTTCATGAGAATGAGACAGATGAGTACATAGGGACCTTTAACCACCAAAATCTTTTTTTTTTTTTTTTTTTTTTTTGGTTTAAGATTTTTTTGGGCATTTTTAGCCTTTAATGGATAGGACAGACAAGTGTGAAAGGGGAAGAGAGAGAGAGAGGGAGTGACACGCAGCAATAGGGCCACAGGCCGGAGTCTAACCTGGGCCACTGAGGCAACAGCCTTGTACATGGGGCGCCTGCTCTACCACTAAGCCACCGACGCCCCAACCACCAAAATCTTAACAGTTCATCCTTGAGTTTAAGAGTGCGTTTGTGCCAAATTTGAACAAACTCCATCAAGGCATTCTTGAGACACTGCATTCACAAGAATAGGATGAACAGACATATGTGCACATGGACGTACGGAAGAACAACCCAAACACATAAGGCCTCCTGCCTTGGCTGTCACAAGAACAGAGGCGTAAATAAAATGACACACATGTCCAACAGTTATGTAATAAGACTAAGGGTCGTTTTCAGCCCTCTTAGTGGACTGTATTATTTTGCATATATGTGAACACTCCAAGAGTCCTCCAAAAGTTTATCTGAAAGACAGGGGCTTCATGACCACACTGCAGTGCCACATCAAAGTATAAAAACACTATATCAATACAAAATAAAAATATAGGCTATAGTGTGAACAGAAAGAGGACTGAGTCCACTTTGAAATGAACTGACAATGTGAACACAAAAATAATTGAGTCCCTTTTCTGTCGGTCCACTTTTTGGTCCACTTTCAGAGGACTGAGTTCAGCTCATTTAAAAAGGACTATATGTGAAAACACCCTAAGGCTACATTCACACTGCAAGACTTCATGCTTCAACTGGATTTTTGACTAAAAACTTTTTATTTTCCCTTTGGCTGTTGTTTTTGTTTTTTGAAAGTGGCCATTATCAGATTTTAGTGGGAACTGGTCAAGGTCCTGAAATCACTGGAATGCGCAAAAGAACAAAAGCAAAAATTAAATGTTTGAAATAAAGTATATTTAATTTAACTATTCTTTTTTACTATTTAGGATACTAACATTTGACAATTCGTACCAAACACATATCAGAGTTGAGGCTACTGGGATGGGATGCAGGTCTTTGGTCATTGAAGTATTGGACAAACTAACATTTTGACCTGATGTTAGTGCTAAATGAAAAGGTAGAGGATCACTGACTTATTACAATTCATCCTGAGAGTAAGATCAGTGTTCGAACCAAATTTCATGGCAATCTCTCCAATAGTTGTTGGATTTAAATGGTGGACCCACAGATGCTGCCATCTACACAATATCTGCTAGAGTGGCTAAAAAGCACAGTGTGTGCGTGTGAGCAATACATGCTGGTAAGAATTATTGTATGTTGAGCCAAGTGTCTGGTGAAATCATCCAATAGGGGATCAGCACATAGAATTTTCAGACTAACCTGAGGACCATTTGGCTCATGAAAATGAAAATCACAAGTGAGCGCTGGCTGCTCTGACACAGCATTGGGCTTACTTACAGAGCCCTGTCAAGTGAAGTCATTTGTAAGTATTCTTACCGTGAGGAAGGGATGTCGTGTATTTTGTAACACTCTGCTTTCTGTAACTGTATGGGCCACCTCATCCTGCCAACAAACACAGTATTGTTAGCAACACAGAAAAAACATGCAATATATAAAAGGTAAAACGTTACTTAAAAGAACAAGAGGCATCAAGATGGTAACTATCCAGTGTGTTATTATCTTTGATTTAATCTGCAAAGTGTCCAAATTTTCAAACAGCTGGGGTGCAAGAAAGAAGATGGCATATACAGTAGTCTCTTATTTCATGCTGCCAAATCGCCCCAAAATCAGCAACAGTCCAGTACACCATCACCATGGAACCAGCAGGGGGCAGTTCATTTGCAATGTAGTTTAAACACCCAGGAGTCCTCGTTGTGCACCACCAACCTCCACCATAACGTGATGCCGGTCTGGTCTAAGTGTATTGAGTGATACTAGTGACATTTCAATGGCAGTGCAGCACTAGATTTTACCTTGGTAGTACAAGGAACCTTTTTCATGAATCACTAGACATATTTTGGGATTTAAAAATCAAAAATCAAACAATAGCATAACAATATACTGTATTTTCAAGACTGTTATTTCCAAACCATTTCCAGGCTTGGAAAATAGTTATTCTAATTTCTTAACCTTTGCAGAAGTTTCATGACTGTGGGAACCCTGGACAAATGCTTTTAACACAAAGAAATAAATAACTTGATGTAAAACATTTAATGTCAGATTTTACAGAAGGTACCACTAAATTTAATTAAATTAAATAAGGGATTCTTTCCAGACACAACTTAAGGAGTATAATGCAGTTACTGTTTACTGTGTTTTTAAAATCTGATGTCTTTACACAGTCAATAACATTTTACAGATGGGAGTATGTCTGTTTTCTTTAATGGTGTAGATGGTTAAATTAATAAAAACAGTGCGTTCACAAATTGCTCCATAAGACACATTCTTGTGTCCCTGTTTTGTTATTTTGTGTGGTAATAAAATTATAAAATGTATGTGTTTTTGTCTAAATGTAACAAAATGGCTCTAAATGTGTCCATAGTATAATCCTAATTAATTAATTCTTATTTTCAGTCTGACATAATATTGCAACACTGAAATTAGCCACTCTGCTGTTCTCTAGTGTTCCTCCTTCTCTCTCTCTCTCTCTCACACACACACACACACACACACACACACACTCACACACACTCTGCAGCATTCATGGTATGAAGGTACAAAGTGTCTTGGAGCAAAAGCGTGGCAGAATGAGAAGAGTGACTGCGATAGCGAAAATGAAGTGCGTCCACACACACACATCCTACTTACCTTGGCTATGATGACCTCTTTACGCAGTATTTTCATGGCGTAATGTACTCCGGTGGACTTCTCTTTAACCAGAATCACCTTTCCAAACGTCCCCTTCCCGAGCAGTTTCAGGTACTCAAAGTCACTCATTGTCTGCAATGTACACAAGGCCGAGGTGTGAGAATTAAACTGGGATATGGATTTCAACAAATTTTGTAAAGAATTGATTCAACTTAAATAAATAAATTAAAAAAACGCATTAAATCTTGAGACAGGGATGAGCGTTTCATACAAGTCACGCCTCATATCTTCACAGCCTGGAGGAATACTATGCTTCCTGCTGTTGTTAGTTTATTGTTCTTTTACAACTAGTAATAGAGGATGTCTCTCTTTTTAGAAAAGCTTTTATGAAATTGAAATGTGCAAAGAATAAGATGTCTGCTAAATGTTTGGTATGGTTCAATGAAGATGGTGTCTATAATAATAATGTATTAAAATTTATTTTCCTAATTCTATAAAATTGCTTTGGTCTTTAAATAACTGACCAAATGACTAGGGTCCACTGTTACTGGTTCCCAGTCTCAGCCATTGGCATACTGTTAAAACTTGACCCTAGTTGTTGATTATAGCTAAAAGAAATTGTTTTCTTTTTTAAACTAGAATTACCGCCTCACGCACCAGTCAAGTTGTAGTTTTAGTTGACATCCATGTCTATGAAAACATGGATGCTGAGCAAATCTCTCCCCGGCAGCACAGGAGATCTATATGATCAGCACAGTTTCAAGGTCAGCATCCAAGATTTGTGTCACCAGTTCAGCATCTGACCTGAGTTGAGTTTTTGTCAAAATTAGTGTATGAATTCCTGAGTTTTGTCCAAAAACATGTTGGTGAGGTCACTTTGACCTTTGAATACCAAATTCTAATCAGTTCATTGTTGAGTCTAAGTGGATGTTTGTGCCAAATTTGAAGAAATTCCCTAATGGTTTTCTTGAGATATCATGTTCATGACAATGAGACTAACAAGGTCACAGTGACATCGACCTTCAACCTATGACCACCAAAAGCTAATCAGTTCATCATTGTCCAAGTGGACATTTGTGCCAAATTTGAAAAAATCTTCTCAAGGTGTTCTTTTTAGAAAGACCAGTGACATCTATGACAAAATATGTTGGGCCTAAAGCAGGAATAACTTACCAACAGATTAGTTCTTAAGATTAATGTATAAGAGATTTCAGAGAACCAATTTTCTCCTATTTAGAATTTCCTAATATGACTATAATTCAAAAGCAGTCCAGACCCTTGTATGAGTCATGTACAGATGGTCTGCCTCTCTCCACTGGGGAAAAACACTCACTTGACTTCACAACTATAACGCCGTAATATGAATGAAATTGGGAGTTTAAAACATGCTACTGAAAATCAACAAAAATAATAGTGAAAATATAAACAAAACCTTTAAGCGCCTATAATTGCTATTTCTATGGTAACAACACATCAAATGACAATCTGGAAACAAGGTGAGTCAAAAGCGTCTCTGGTAGTGATGGACCCACAGAGATTTATCAGCTGATTCTGCAGATCCCCTCAGCTTTACAGAGCTTTGTAGCGAGTTTCAATTCTCATCAGGTGATGAAGTCAATGTTGTATTACAATTTGTTTCTGCTGCTAAGAGGCCCAGAAAATCTGTCATTGCAGGTTTAACATTAAATGAATATCCCATTGCATGTAGTTTTTAAAGGAACAGTTCAGCCCCAGATCAAAAATACACATTTTTTCCTTTTATCTGTAGTGTTGTTTATCAGTCTAGATAGTTTTAGTGTGAGTTGGGAGTTACTGGCCGTAGAGGTGTCTGCCTTCTCTCCAATGTGGAACTAGATGGCACTTGGCTTGTAGTGCTCAAGGTGCCCAAAAAATACATTTGAAAAAATTAACAGTAATGTGTCTTTCCAGTAATTATGACCCAGTAATTATGACTCAAGACAATCCACAGACCTTACTGAAAACAGTTTCATTTAGGAACTACACCCAGCAACCACATCATCATTAATGGACGAGGGGCTTCTGCTCATGTAAACGTTAGGGGTGGGGGAAATTTCCGATTCTTAGATGCATCGCAATTCGGACGTGGACGAATCTGAATGGATTCACAAACGTCCAAATTTCGATTAATTACAGTAATACAGAAGGTTCTAAATGATGCGGAACTAAGAAGCGCGGTACGCGTCATCTCCAGGACACTTTGGGATGCGCACCTGGAGCGGACACGCCGACACGCGCACAGAGGAAAACAAACATGGCTGACCACCACCCACCTCGCCATGAGATCTGAACAGCTCCTTCTAATTTAAAAGCAGACGTGTGGAAATACTTCGGCTTCTACAACGTTGACGGCGGAAGCGAACTGGACAAGAGCCACATTATATGTAAGCTGTGTCGTGCTAAAATAAAATACTTTGGCAACACAACAAACATGGCAGGCTGTTGTTGCTGCGGCTACTAGTGGCGCTACCGACCAGAGAACAATCGAGGAAGCAATTAGAAAGCTGCCACCCTCATCGGAAAAGGCCAAGCGAATTACGAAGGCCATCGCAGCATTTATTGCCAAGGATTTGCGTCCTTATTCTGTCGTGGAAAATCAGGGATTTCGAGCACTGCTGCATACATTGGAGCCCAGATACACCATCCCATCCCAATGCTATTTCACCGACACGGCCATCCTGACACTCTACCATCAAACCAAAACAGAAGTCATGGCCTCGCTGTTGAAGGCAGGTAGGAATGCAGTTACATGTGATGCGTGGACGTCTGTCGCCACCGAATCATTTGTTACTCTAAGCTAACTGCGCATTTTATCTTGTGATTTAAGATACCTGTTGTTACCTTTGGTTCCGTACAACGAAGTTGTAACTTTACAGTTTGCACGCATTTCCATTTATATGTTTAATAAAATATAATGGAAATGAATTCAACTGTTTCTTATTACAAATGCACTGTTTTTAAAAATTGCAAGTGTTGAATGCTTATTCAGTGAGACAAAAAGAAATGTGTGTTGTGAAAAAGTGCATCAATATACATAAATTAAAGATGCATCAATACTCGTTTTATAATCAAATCGTAGCCCCTGAATCGTAATCGGTATCGAATCGTGAGGTGCCCAAAGATTCCCACCCCTAGTAAACATTAATGGCGTCCTCCTCAACTGAGCTGTAACGTTAGCTAGCTCAGTGGTGCTGGGTGAGCTAGCAGTAGATTTTCACATGTCTCTGCAAGGACATAACTAAATATTGCCAAAATGCTGTTGTAGTCCTACAATTTTTTAGATCAGATCAAATGAGCTCACAATGTTCTATGTCCCCAACTTTGTCTCACCACTTTGGAGCGGTTCTTGGACAACAAAACCTCCATCTCCTCCAGGCTGCTTTCGCTGGGTGAGCCGAACAAATCCATTGGTTCCTCCTCCTCCTGTTCCCGCATCTTCAGACTATTTGCCACTGACTGGATTGCCCGCATCCACTCCTCTCTGAGAGGTTAAAATCCCAGATATTGTCAGCCATTACATCAAACAAATGGACAATGTTTTGGAGAGACTTTTACACACACAAGGTGCAGCTGCATGCCATCGAAATTCCAAAAATAAATTCACCATAGTTTGACACAAGCCCAGTAGAAACATGGCAGCTTGCTCTATATACAGTATCTCACATAAGTGAGTACACCCCTCCCATCTCTGCAAATATTTCATTTTATCCTTTCATGGGGCAACACTATAGAAATGACACTTTGATATAGTAGTATAGATTTACCTTCCTCTGAAAATTACTCAAAACACAGCCATCAACATCTAAACAGCTGGCAACATAAGTGAGTACACCCCACAGTGAACATGTCCAAATTGTGCCTAAAGTGTCAATATTTTGTGTGCCAACCATTATTATCTAGCACTGCCTTAACCCTTTTCGTCATGGAATTCACCAGAGCTCACAGGTTGCTTCAGGAATCCTCTCCCACTCCTCCATGATGACGTCATGGAGCAGATGGATGTGAAGACACCTTGTGCTACTCCACCTTCAGCTTGAGATGCCCTACAGGTGCACAGGTGAGTTTAGGGCTGGATACATACTTGGCCAGTCCATCACCTTCACCTTCAGCTTCCTCAGCAAGGCAGTTGTCATTTACTAGGTGTGTTTTGGGTCGTTATCATGTTGGAAAACTTGATAATGAAAACTTGCAGCCCAGTTTCTGAAGAGGGTCGATCATGCTCTGCTTGGAATTCATGTTTCCCTAAATGAACCGAGCTCCCCAGAGCCGGCAGCACTCATGCAGCCCCAAACCATGATGCTGCCACCACTATACTTGACTGTAGGCAAGGGACAGTTGTCTTGGTGCTCTCTTTCAGCATGTGTGGCACCTTGGTGAAGAGCACCAAGACAACTGTCCCTTGCTTACAGTCAAGTATAGTGGTGGCAGCATCATGGTTTGGGGCTGCATGAGTGCTGCCGGCTCTGGGGAGCTCGGTTCATTTAGGGAAGCATGAATTCCGAGCATGATCGACCCTCTTCAGAAACCGGGCTGCAAGTTTTCATTATTAAGTTTTCCCACATGATAATGACCCAAAACACACCTAGTAGATGACAACTGCCTTGCTGAGGAAGCTGAAGGTAAAGGTGATGGACTGGCCAAGTATGTATCCAGCCCTAAATTCACCTGTGCACCTGTGGGGCATCCTCAAGCTGAAGGTGGAGGAGCGCAAGGTGTCTTCACATCCATCTGCTCCATGATGTCATCATGGAGGAGTGGGAGAGGATTCCTGAAGCAACCTGTGAGCTCTGGTGAATTCCATGCCCAAAAGGGTTAAGGCAGTGCTAGATAATAATGGTTGGCACACAAAATATTGACACTTTAGGCACAATTTGGACATGTTCACTGTGGGGTGTACTCACTTATGTTGCCAGCTGTTTAGATGTTGATGGCTGTGTTTTGAGTAATTTTCAGAGGAAGGTAAATCTATACTACTATACAAGCTGTACACTGACTACTTTAAGTTATATCAAAGTGTCATTTCTATAGTGTTGCCCCATGAAAAGATAAAATGAAATATTTGCAGAAATGGGAGGGGTGTACTCACTTATGTGAGATACTGTAACATTTTACCTCGTTCTTACCTCTCCTCATTGCTGTCCACATGAAAGGTGCGTTCAATGACAGTGGTCCACTGTAGGCAACGAATGACAAACGTGTTGGGCCGGGGTCTTTCAGTCTTCATTAACTGGCATTCTGTGAATAATACAAATCAGATTGATGTTTATGGGAAGCTGCTGAAAATGTTAACACAGAGGACAGAACTGTACTGAAGTCAAAGCAGCCAACTAGCATTGGAAAGTACGAAGCAATGGTTGTGAAGAAAAGGCAATTGATCAGAGTTGTGTTTTGCCCTTTGGAGGACAGACCTGCCACTGAGAAGTTGTTGAGTGGTGGTGAAGTCTGGTCAGTTAGCTCAGGCTTCTCCTTGTAGCCGATGAAGGAACCATCACTCTTCAGGATGAAATACCTGGGCCTCCATGTTTTGATATATTCACCTGGGTCAGAAAAGAAAAGCAATTTTATGTACATTTAATTAATAAGAACTTTGCTGACATTTTAAGTTGAACCCTTAAAATCAATTTCACATTTCACTGTGAATTATCAGCATGATAATTTATACCATACCAATCCTTATGCTTCTTACCTCTTTTATGAAGCCAGCCCTCTCTGACTATATTAACTTCATTCATGGTGAGAGATGTGTTTCAGAGAGGGTCGGGAACAGGAGGTTGGGGAGGGGAACAGTGAATTTCTCTCTCGGCCCGTTCAAGTCTCAGTTACAGCTGTCGAATCTGAACAGCACCTGCTGAATAAAATAAGCAGTACAAAGAAATAGGACCATCTTCAAATACTTAAAAAAAAATCTAACAGAAAAATAGAGTGGTTTAGACGGTCGACAATCGTTATATGGGGTTAATACAGTTAACTGTATTACTAGACCTAAGTTTTATAAAATTAAATCTAAAACTTAAGTTTCTTTTAAAAAAATTAACTCAAGAACAATTTAATAACTGATGTACAAAAACAACACCTGGATATACTGGAATGACTGGTCTCATTTCAACAAGTGGTCAGCAAAGAAGCACCATATCTGTAAGATCTTTAAACCCAAAACATGAGCTCAGCTGTGCTCTGCACCTATTACAGCTCTGCATTTAAAGGAATACTTCTTTCAGGTCAGGTCCCCATCAAAATGGCTGTTTGTTTGTACTGAGCATAGCATGTTTGACGGATCTGCATGAAACTCGGTGAACATAATCTAGGGCCCAATATCTAAAGTTCCCTCTTGGCAAAAGTTGGAAAACTTACTAAAACTGAGCTTCTATAAGGCAATGAATATTGCGGAGGGCATGGCTTATCACATTAAGGTGTATAACATCTCAAGGGTTTCACCGATCACCACCCAACTTTGTAGGCATATGACCACACATTATTGACCCAATTAAACAAAATGGGGGAGCTAGAGAGCTAATTTCTTATCTAGGCCTAACTGCCATATTGATTTTTACTAAATTTGGTAGATATGTAGAACAGGACGTCTAAAGGTGACAGAAAAATGCTTAAAAATGGTTAAAATGCGACCCATTGCTATGGCTCCCCCTGTGGCTGATTGTTTGTTTGTTTTTTCTAATTTTTGCATGACTAAGTCATGGTATGGTGTGCTGTACATAATCACGGAAACCGTCAGTGTGTCATTCTGTCAGTCAGTCATTCTGTCTGTCCCACGTTTTTCTACTCACTGACATGGTCAATCTATGTGAAACTGCACATAGTCACTGAGAATTGGCATAGGCAGGTGACAAAGCTACTTTTTCCAAAAATTATACTATTAGTATATTCTTTTCCCATGTTAACTACCAATGCGCCCCTCTTAAGTCAATACAACATATAACCATTTTAAGTATCTGCCTTTCAACGTGATACTTCAACTACTAATGTACAGTTTTAGCCCACTAACTATCCCACTATTGGCAATGGTACTACTGTACATTCAATAAAGCAATCGTACTATCAAATTCACAAAAACTCTGTCTGAATACATCGCTCTTCTTAATGGGTTCAGTTGACTATTTAATCTGCAATTTCCTATGACCTGTATCCCAAACACACACCATGTGAAACTGTACGTGGGCAACTGTGCACTCAATGGGTATGCACTAGTTTTTACTATTGTTAAAAACGGACCCCTATGACTCCAATCACGAATTTTCTGTTTTTGGATTCGTCGTCCACTGGAGGCATGTGGGAAAACAAAGTCTTCTTAACAAATTGAACGTAACACGGAGTAACGTTAACTGATACAAAAATAGACATTTAAAGGGTGAAGTATTTCTTTAATGTCGAGAAGCGTGTGTGATCTCGACGTGAGCAGAACAGTTACTGTAGGTGTTATTATCCCCCACCGTGTCATGATAACATGTACCAGAGGGCGAAGTGCTACATTTATAACTTATGTCTAATGTTAAACACTTAACACTCCAGGAACATACAACGTCATGGCTTATGTTAGAGATAAGGAGTTTAAGCTTTAAATCTAGTTCAGTGTTCTTTTCCGCCGACCAAATCACAGCGTAAAGCTAATTTATAGCTAACCTCGTTGTTATTGTTATTGTCGCTGTTAGCAAGGCTGCCATTTAACATTAGTTAGCTAGCTGTTAGCACATAAACGCTGACAGCTGTTAGCTGTATGCTAGCTGTGATCAGTTAACTTTCAACGACCCATTTACGGCAGAGAGAGTTGGGAAATGTTCATCGAGATAATAACCCCACAAACATCTGACTGTGAATCTGTATTTATTGTGCATCTGAACCACAAATATACTAGATAATGATTCCAGTATTTCAAATAACTTAAACATCGTATGAGTTAGAAATAACTTTGCTAATTTACGTTAAAGCCCAGTATCACATACTAAGTTAGTGTTTTACAACGAGAAAGACACAGTCGTGCTTTACATACGATACTTCTAGGCGAGTTTGCCCCTGTACCGTAATATTACTAACAAATGCTTGACCTAGCATAAGTTGCAAATGCTTGTTTATTATTAGTAAACAGTCTTACATTAGCGATCATATGCCTTCTTGTAGGTTACTGATGTAGCCTTGCTAATAGCGAGGTAGTCAAACAACTATTCTCATTAGCTTTGCATTAGAGGCTCCTCAACTTGTTTCGTAATGCGATATATTTTACTATTAATGATATTAAAACAATATTTAACGCACATTTCACTGACTTTATCCCACGTTGCTCTCGTTTCAATGCAGTTTTGACAGGCTAGATCCAGAGCAGGCCATCCACCCAGGAAAACACCATGGACTCTCTTCTTCTCGGGATTAGAGAGATGGTCGCTGTTCTTGGGACACACACCGCCACCTGCAGGCAAGACGAAGTTATTTTCAAAGCAGTGTGGTTGCTTGCCAGAAGTCTGGGAGATATGACTGGGATTATCTTTACTTCTGACCTATAACTTCTATACTTCTAAACTATAATCCCCTTCTGGGAAATCTTGGGTCCTGACATTCGTGAGGAGCCACTTAATGAGCACCACCCACCCAAACACCTGTCACGGACCAAATGCAGCCCCAAAGGCAACAACACTCCCTGATGGCAGTGGCACCCCCCAGCAGGACAGTACACCATGCCTCACTGCAAAAATTGCTCAGTAATGGCCCGAGGAACATGACAAAGAGCTCAAGGCATTGACCTTGCCTCCAAAGTCTCCAGAACCCAATCTGATCAAGCATCCATTGGACCTGCTGTTACGTCAGAGCCAAGTCGGATCCACAGTGGGGCCTCCTTGGATCAGACTTGGCTTTGACCTCGACACAAGATCTCTGGGGGTGTCTTGAGCCGTCTGGCACCAAGGTGTTGGTGGCAGATCCTTTGAACCCTGTGAGTTGCGAGACGGGGTACCATCTGCATGTCCCACAGATGCTTGATCAGATTGGGATCCAGGGAATCTGGAGGCCAGGTCAATGCCTTAAGTACTTTGTGACATTGCTCATGTCATTCCTGAGCAGTTATTGCAGTGTGGCATGGTGCATTGTCCTGCGTTTGCCATGAGGGGGTGTAATTGGTCCGTTACACTGTTTGGGCAGGTGGTGCGTCTCAAGAGGCATCCACATGACTGCCAGGACCCAAGGTTTCCCAGCAGAACATTGCATTGTAATACATTGTACAATCAGATAATAAGCAGTATTCCCATAACCTGTCAATGGTTTAAATGTTATGGCTTATCACTGTGTATGTAAATATTTATAGGCCTACAGTTTGACCCTGGTTTATCATGTTGTTTAGGCTACAGCGCTCCGACTTAGACTTGTATTTATTTGTTAAATGTATCCATTTACTCCACAGAACTTTATTGATCCCAATATTGATCCCAATAAAGTCTTACCTTCTTATGTTGACAGCTTCTTCCTTTCTCCACCACCTAAGCTATCGTAATTGAAAGAGGCACCCATGAAGCACATGCGTTTTGCAAAAGTTGCTGTTTTATTTGCAGAATTTTCTCACCCCATGTCAACATGAAAACTGCTAAAAACACTTTAAAATTAGTTTTCACACTTTTTCATTGCAAACAGATACCAAGATATTCCACTAAATGTTAGTTGTGTCTACCTATTATCAGTTAGCTGTTATGAATCTGTTTGGTAACAGCTTTTATTATTTGCATAAACAACAAGAAAACACAAGTTAAAATGCAACATAACAGTTATTACGCACAACATAGCAGCATGCCAATTGTTTTCTTATTCTTTCAGATGCACCAGCTCAACAAAACGTCTTTGGATCTATGGTATATAATGGCACATTATGTGGTTTGTGAAAGTGAGAGACAGGAAATAAATCAAGTTCAGCTACAAGGTATCTCAGACACATGCGTGGTGGAAAGGAACTAAGTGCATTTACTTAAGTACCGCAATTTTGGCAATTGTACTTTACCTGAGTCTTTCTATTTCATGCTAACTTATAGCTATACGTCACTACCTTGCAAAGGAACATTTTGTACATTTTACTCTGAATACAAGACTTCTACTTGTAATTGAGGACTTTCACAAAGCACTTTCTCCCCCAGTGGAAGATTACAGTAGTTATTTTCTTCAAATGTAAGCAAGCAAATAAATAAGCACAACAGCATGAGAATCCTAAAGGGGGAAGCTGGGGTTTGTTGTTCTTCCTGTTGCATATACTTTACTGCATAACAAGAAATAGTAGCATGGAAATACCAGATATATGTTTGAGGTCATTTAGAAACAGTGTTTCCATCACATTTGTCCTGCAGAGAACACTTTATGGCACACATTATGGCCATACTTCTTGAAACAAACAAACTGAGACGTTCTTATAAAAAAATATTGCTGATTATGTCTTTATATAAAATGGATTTTAGCCAATATATCTCTATTAGATCTGTGATATCTATATCTGTAATGGCCTCAAAAATCCAGGCACTAAACTGCACTACAGGAAAATATGAAGACACAGTGATAAATAGAGGAGAATACATCTGCATTGCATAGTTTGCTATCAGCTGCTCTAGCATCGCATGATAAAACATTAATATCTATTCATTATTCTCTTGATCCATTCTTCAGCCTTCAAGAGTCTTCACCCTTTTGCACTTTGCAGCTCCTGGATCAGTGCTGGAAAAGAAGAGAAGAGTAATATACAGGCATAACTTAACATGACATGACATAGCAACCCAAAATGTTAATAGTTTATACAAGCTTTATAAACTAATGACAATAGGCAGCATACAAGTTAGAACTCACCTGTGATAATCTCCTCCTTCACTTTTTGAAGTTCTTTTTTCACGTCTTCAATAATTTCCTTCAAACATACATACATGCCATGAGACCTTGGTGTTAAAATGTTCTTACATGAAAAATCCTACATCATAATTGAAGCCAATCAGTATTTCAGCAAACAGCCTGAAAGCTCTGACACAACAGTGACATCCTGGACAGAATGTTGTGACTTTGTAACTGCAGCCTGTTCTGCCTTTGATAACATTACTCCTTGGTGCTTGCATATCACAGTGGATTGAGAAACACATGCAGAATCTTACAACATTACATTGTTTTTAGCATCTCTCTTAATTTTACACAGAAGCCACAACAGATGTGTTTTTCATAGATGAAAACTTAATATTCTGCTGTGAAAAAGTCACAACACAGAGCTCTACTGATATTGGATATTGTTGTGTGTTCAAATAGAGGAACCAACCTGTTTGATTTTTTCCATATCAATATCACTTCCCGCACCATCGGAGTTCTTTTTTACCACCTTCATTCTAAGAAAGAAAAAGACCCAAGTTTACAGTCAGCCAAACACACTCTCTCAGATCAAGAGGGTCTTTTCCATAAGAAGCGGGCCAGGAGGAGCAGCATACTTTGTATATATAAAATGTTAGAAAAATGAGAGAAGGGCAGAGACAGAGCAGCAGCAGTCAACAGTTAACAGTAAATGTATTCTTGCATCATCCTAACAACTGCTCATACTTTAGTAAGACCAACCACTTCCTCAAGTCTTTATAAAGACATCTGAACACGTCAGTGAAGCTGTTAGAATTTAGGTGAAAATCAAAATGTCTCGTTCTGCTTGTCAGTTGCCAAACTTCATGAGCAAAAACTCCCCCAATTTATGATTTATGCTCATGCTGTCAAGAAAGAAAACTAGTGAATGCAGTTGCAGGGTTCTATCATGGCAACATGTTGCATGAGACTGTCACCAAAGCACCTGAGAAACAAGTTTCAGTCTCTTTAACTGCAGCCTCAGATAAAAACCACCAAATGTCGAGTGCTAAATTTGCTGTAGCTAGTCATTTGTAAGCAGCACACCACGAATTAAAATATCGGTCATACTAGCACAGAGCTCATTTCGCAGGTTTATACTGTAATGTAGGCAGCAGCTTACAAATCAGAGAGCTCTGAGTAGTAGCACCTCGAGACGGTATAGAACATTGGTGGCAGGTGGGGACAGAGAGGGGAGTGATACCTGGACACTGGGTTAGTGGTGAAGTTAGAGGAGGGAGATGTGGAGGAGCTGGGGCTGGAGTCCTTTTGATTGTTGGTTAAGGATTTGGGCCTGTTGAAAAAACATGCAGATCCTTTAAAGCAGTTTGTGATTGGGTTTTTGAATTTACATGAATGGCTCGGGGGAGGCTGTTATTTAGCACCAAATATGCAACACAGTCTCCTAGAAATACATAAAATGGACACCACCTCTTAGCAACACATGACATTATGGTTGGCATGAAATGTGTTAAAATTACTGCTAGTAGCACAAAAACAATGAAACTGTCACAGCTTGGTTAGGTTTAGAGACCCAAAAAGTACTTGGTTAGGTTTAGAAAAAGATTGTGGTTGATTAAATACCTATGTATAGGATGTAAGTGAAATGGCTGATTGCGTATGAAAAGAGCGTTAGAAAAAAAGAAAAGCAATCTGCAGCGCAGTACAAATACGAGAAGAAAATTAAATTCACAAATTAGTACCTATTGTATTCTCTTATTGTTTATTTATTATTATTGTTTGTTTGCCAAGTTGTTTTTTTGGGTTGATTTCTCATCAGCTCTTGTTCTGGTGGGTGCCAGTGGAAGCAGGCCCAGGGCACCAAATGAGCTAGGTCCAGCACTGAATGACTGAAACCATATGTGCTTTGCTTAGTGAAGTAAAATACGTATACTTCATTGCATAGTCACGTGACTATGTTGAGTTTTGGTTTCACATTGGACACAGACAGTGTTCTCCTGGTTGAATAAAACACCCCTGCCCCACATACGCAGACTTTCTTGCTCTTTTCTCATTTGTGTGTCCACCACACCAAAAGATTCTCACTGACTTTGAATGGCATCGTTTTCGTGGTGCCAGCATGGAATTTTTACACATTTTGTGTCCACCACCACTTAATGTGTTGTTGAGACTTTGCGTCCATTTCACATATTTCCATGAGAGCAGGCTGAAATATGATGGGTGTCTGTGGAACATAATGTGATGTAATGAAATAATCAACCATCTCAAAAGCTTAACAGCTCGAACTCACCTTGGCATAGTGGAAAATTTTTCCTTAGGTTTTCCACCGATCTCTGCTAAAATATGATCATATGTATCAGTACAGCACATTTCTGTCTGTTGAACCTCAAATGTATTTCAAGTTTTAATATCATGTTGTGGTATAAAGAAAGAAGATAAGATAATATATAAGGCATATATTATTCTAAAGCTGAGTCAATGTATTGGTTGTCTACAAAGAATAAACAATTGAATAGCCTGTTTTTGTTTTTGAAGCCATTTATTATAGCATGTATTACAGTCCAGTAGGAGGGGAAAAGTTACTCACCTGCTGGTCCTGAGAATTGTGATGTTGAAGAGTCAGAATCCTGCTGTAGTCACGTACAGACATGTACAAAGGTTATCATCCAATCTCACTGTTCATTCTACAGATATTACAGAATAATGAGAGGAAATCAGTGTTCATGAAATCACTGACAGGAGACTTACACTGGGAGGTTCCACCTTTTTCTCAGCAGGATTATCAGCAGCTTTCCTCCTATTTAAAACAGATTCATTATAGACATTCAAAAGTGCCAAACATCAGATCATCACAGACATATCTGTCTTACACAGATTGTCTCTTTAAGTAAGAACGTACCTTCTAGCAAGGATGGCACTCATTTCTCCCATGAGACAACCTCCTCCACCTCCACCAGATGAGGGTGCGGGTTTGGGGGGTGGGGCTCCTGCTCCTCCCTCATCCTGGATACACATAAACACCTCCAGTCACTATCTTCTAAATAATTTGTTCTATTGATCAGCTTACTCAGTTTGTCATTAATGTAGACATGGAAACCAAAAACCTCCGTCATTTGTACTAAGCTGCATCTTTTTATGCAGTCTTATACTGAGCAGCTGTGCATGGTTGTGATTGCACTGGTGGTGTACACTACCTTGACTGTTTTACGTAGTTTGGCTCCTGCTAGAGCTGCTGCAAGATCATTTGCACCTCCGCCTCCGCCACCGCCTCCGCCCCTGCCTCCACCTCCGCCCCCACCTCCGCCCCCACCTCCACCCCCAGGTGGTGGAGGTGGAGGCGGAGGTGGAGGTCCACCCCCACCCCCAGCTGGAGGTGGTGGAGGTGCAGGTGGGCACGATCCTGAGGAAGGTGGTGGGCATGGAGGTGGTGGGGGTGCCGGTGGAGCAGGTGGAGCAGGTGGAGCAGGTGGAGCGGCTGGCGGGGCAGGAGGAGCAGCAGGGGCAGCAGGGGCAGACATGGCAGCAGAGGCCTGCCTGGCTTTCTCCAGACGCTCCTTCTCCTGCTGTTCCTGCCTCTGTTTCTCCAGTCTGGACAGAGATCAATAATTCTAATGTTAGTCTGACAACCCAGCAACTTTTAAAAGCTGTTCCATATGTATGTTTCTGCTTTTGGGACATGGCAGCATTTTTCACAGTTTTCTGAAAGTGTTTTTACAATTGAAAAAACAACATCAAAACAACAATCAATGATACAGATAAACAACAGTAGCTGTATCCTCAGTGTCATTTATAATGAACAGTACCTTTTCTGTTGTTCCAGCTCCTGGGCAGAGGGTCCATTCTGAGCCGGGCCTGAGCAAAAACATTGTCTTGTGTTATTGACAAGCGAGTTCCTCTTAATCAAGACCTTTTAAAGTTAATGAAAGCTGTAGATGCCAGCAGGGTTGGAGTCCAGAGAGCACCCAACTTATGGAGATCATCACATCCACTGTGATAGCATATGTCAGTAACAACTCAATTATAACATTGCAAAAATGTATTAACACAGCAGGACTATGACAAAAATAGAAACATTGCAAAATCCTCTGATGACCTTTTTATGATTTCAGTCCAGAGTTAGGCTGTTACTTTTAAATAGATACAATCAGGCTGTGGTTTGGATTTATGCCTGTCTGGAAAAGGCAGCATGGTCACAACATAAAGATCACAACATAACTAACACAGAAACACTTCACACTGCCTGACCTGAATCTAATGCACCCTCTTACAATGTAATGTTTACCTGTGCCTGCTGGTGCACTGAGAGCCTCTAATGCATGCGTCATGGAGTTGGCAAAAAGAGTAGCTTCTTCTTTACTGCCGAAGTTCAGCCCCCACACGTGCTTGGGATCCCGCCACTGGTGGAAGTTTGGTGTGGCTTGATTATACTTTATCCCTTTGATAATGGGACAGTTGATCACCACCTGGCAGGAACAGGAAGCACAGGAGAATGATTGTGTTGACAACTTGAGTACTTGACGAAAAATCTGTTTGCCTGTTTTCTTTTTCCACTTGTCAAAAACTGCCGTTTGGTCAGTGATTTCAGCATCAGACACCAACGAAAAAGGCACCTTTCGCAGCTGTATGTATCTAACGAGCAGAAACCATAGCCTACATGTCCTGTGAAAGAGTCGAGTAGGAAGTAAGAAGCCACAGTCGGGTACTGGTCTCAGCACTTCTACAGAGCAACATTTCAAAGTGCAGATACAAGCTGTGACTTTTCTCACTGATGAGTTGTTGTTTAAAAGTACAGTGAGTCTCTTATGTCTGTTGGAGAGCTGCTCTCACATTGTATTTCATAGACTAACAGCCGAAAAGTATCAGTTCATAGCAAGAAAGAGGTGTGACTAAACTTCTCCAGTTTACGTCCAACAGTTTCATAGATTATGATTTTGAGCTTGTGTACACTTGTCTTGTACCTGCTGGTCGGCCTGCATTTTGCGGCCCACCACTCTGAAGGTGTTGGCTGCAGGGTTGTGATAGATCTGGACGCGGCTGAAGGAAGGACTGTCAGATCCCGCCGGCACCCAACGTTTGTTTCTGTCATCATACATCATGACTGTCGCCCTCACTTGGCAGATACTGGACTCACTGTGGGGAGGAGACATGATGGGAAAATGATGATGAGATGCAGAGTACAAGATCATAGGGTGGAAGGAAGTGTGGAGCAACAATAGAAGTGTGTAGTGTGATATGTAGTGTGGAAGCACTGCAGTAATGGACAACTGGTTTTAAAGAGGTAATCCCTGAATTAATATTTCTGGTCACCTTTCCATGGTGTAGCCTGTCTGTCACTCAATGCCACATTATCACAGGATGCATTAAGATAGCACCTGTCCTTTGCATGTATGCCATATAGCCAGCATCACTACCATCCACATCAGGTGATCCCTTATCCCTCTGCTTTAGATAGCTGTGTATATTACTATACTGTGAAGTCTGGTTTAAACTGATCTTACTGGTTGCATTAGACTATTAGTCTGTATATCAGATGTGTTGACATAAAGCAAGAAGACCTACATGCATGCAATGACATGTTACTTTGCGAAGAGAGTCACAGCCAGTTGTGAGCTCCCCGGAAAGCCATGGTAGAGTTTAAAACACAATGTGTAGGGCCGAGTATTACTATGTGTCAAGTGCTTCAACCTGGCACTGAATGCCTATTCAGAGTCATAGTTTTGTTTACTTAACACAGTTAATAGTCAAATAGCAACAACTTTAACAACTGAGAACTTTTACATTCTTCAAAACAACGTACCAAAAAAAGAAAAAAGTTAGGGTATAGGTATGGTGCTCATATCAGAAAAATAGATGCAGAGCCCTAGTCAACAGTGTATGTTTTAAAAACAAAACTCTTTCATGGTCAGCTATAGATTCATGTACATAGTATTGGACCAGTGGAATATGTATTCTGTAAGTAAATGTAGTAATACCACAATTTAAAAATATTCTTTAAGTTTTAAATTTGAAAATTATGCTTAAGTAAAAGTAAGGAACTATTATTAGTAAAATATAATTAGAGTATTAAAGTAAATTGATACATGATGCTGCATAATTTATACTGTCAGTGATAAATTATGATATTAATTAATATTTTTACTGATACAAATGAGCAGCAACAGTTAAGCTTATTTCAAATGTATATATGGGCAGTAGAATCTGTCACAATGCATCACATCTTTTAAAGTGCTCATACATTATGTTTTGTATGTAAAATCAGAATCTGCAAAAACAGCTGTCAAATAAATGGAGGAGGGTAAAAGGTGTATTATTTCTCTCTGAAATGTAGAGACAGGATAAAGTAGCATGTAATGGAAATATTCAAATAAAGTACAAGTGCCTCATAATTGTACTGAAGCACAAAGCCTCTGTAAATGCACTTTCAACCACTGTAAAAAAACAAAAAAAAAAACTAGACAAAGATGTATTCACATACTTCATGGATAATTTCATAAAAATTATCTCTCAGGTTATATAGGATACTTCAGGCCTGTGCTATACTTGTATTGTATAATGTATTGAACAAGTTTAAATGTTTTCAGGGAAAGTTAAAGAAATAGAAAACAGAGATATGTTTGCAGCAGTACTGCAGATACTTATTTCTATACTCTGAAGCATCATGACAATGAGTTAATTCAGTCTACTTGTTGCTATGTCTAGCCTGTGGGAAATATGAACTTCCTGTCAGAAAGGTTTTCATGTTTTGACCACTTCCTGTGCTCAGCACAATGCTACCTAATATGGACTACATCATATCACTTGTCAGTGATATATGCTAACTTTTCAAAGTCTTTTTTAGGATGTCATGATATACTTAGCTCAGCTATTTTCCCTATTCTCCCTCCCCAACTGTAAAAACTGAACACCTGCTTTGAGCTCGAGACACTCGCACACAGCAGGAAACTTAGTCAGAACTGAAGAGCTTGTTAAGAATGTGTAGTGCAGAGTTGATAGGAAGCAGTTCTGTTCTGCACAGCTTTACTTGTTCATGCATGAGACATTCAGAATGATTTGAATGAAAAAAGGAAAGCAGATTTGAGTCGATAAACATTTTCACTGTAACAGAAAGTGAACTCACCCCATATTCCAGCTACAGTCAGTGTCCAAAGTTTCACTTGCTTTTTAACAATCTGCTTCTTCTCATCAACTTGAACACTCCCTCTCTCAAGTACATGTGTCCATCAGTCTATTCAGTCAGACCTGCTGCCATTACTGCCTGCACACCTCCATCACTCGCTCTCACGACTTTGTTTAACACCAACAACTTGCACTTCTGCCTTTGTACTCTCATTTCCTAGACAGGTTTTTTTCTCTCTCTTCCTGTTCTCGTTTCACTCGTTCTTTTAAATTCTTATTTTCACACCTCGCCCATTTTCTGTCCCTCAGTCAGCTCTGATTTCTGCTTGATTTCTTCCTTTCCTTCATATAGTTTGGAATTATTTCGGGAAGGGGGGATAGTTTGTAGTACAAGTGGTGCCCTGCTGAATGAGTGTGTTTTGGCGGTGAAGGACGACAAGATTCACTGCATTCACAAGCACACTGGTCATGAGTCCTCTTCACATTATTATTTAGACTACTTCAGATAAGGAGTCGGAGGCATCACATGCAGTGGTTCAGTGTAACTTTCTGTGTGTTACTGAATTTTATAGCTCAAAACAAACACGTATTACTGTTCTGTATTAATAAATGTATTATTTATATTATCCATTCAACAGCAGCAGTATATAGTTCAGTTTTATTTATATTATGAATGTAACAGCAGTAGTATAGAGTAATGTTTAACTCTGAATGTGCTGAGACGAACTTTAGTAGTAGAACTAGAAGTTGAAGTAGTAGTAGTCACATCAGCACTACAGGTACAGTAGTAGTAGCCTATTTTGAGCATTTTACAGTGTCTGGATCAGGGGTAGTGAAGAGGAGCTGAGGGACAGTCGAAGCCACATCAAAATGTTCTGAGTCATACCAAAAGAGGGAACTGCCAAACTATTCAAGTAGTAGCAGTAAACACTGCAGCTCCTCAACACCCAAGTAAAATCCCAGTGTCTTGCTTCTCAACTGCTGAGTAAAGTGAAGCTCCATAGCATCAACCTTGGCTCTGAAGGCAAAATAAGCATTAGCACACCTCAGTTTTCACAGAAATGGTCAAATGAGCCACTAAAAATTTTAGGGTGGCACACCAAAACCATAAAGCCATGACTCAATTTAGCAATCTATATAGGCAAGAGTTATGGAATGGTACAGTTACAGTTACTAATCATCTGATGTGCATAGACTAATGAAGCCCTCGTGAAAGTTCAGTCAGGAAGATAATACTTTTTTATGCCTAGACTGTAACTTTCTTCCTCACCCTGCCATTCACTCCTTGCACGGATGCTCACTCTATGTCTCTTGCTGTCAGTTTTCAGGGGTGTCAATCGAGTCATCACCTGTTCTGCAGCAGATCCACAATGAACCAATAGCACAGCGACACACCCTCTGTCAGCCTATCATCTTACAGCTCCTCATTTTAAATATGGTTCTTTTTCTGCCTGCAGTCCTTTCATGCTGCAGCTGTGTGCACCCTCTACCTCTATCACTGCCTAGTCTTCGCAAATTCAGTCTCATTCACCTCATTAGTCATCCACCACAAAGTCATCAGCCACCAGTGCCTAGACTTCAGAGATTTATCTCGGTGCCGCTAAGATGTCCCTCGATCACAAAATATCTCCCTCTGGTGTCCAAGTGCCAAAAACTTATGTTAAATCTTATCAGCACAAATCATCTGTTAATCTGTACACTCATATTACAAATTAAACTATCTTTAGTCAGTTATTCTGTCACTAATGACTGAAATCAGTGCAGTTGACATTTTGAGTTGTATGAGGGTGGCCGTGGACCCACCGCCCCTTTGTAATCACTGTATACCCACTATATGAAACACCACTATACATATACACACACAAACACAGTTGGAGCGACGCAAGGAAGTTAGGGAAAGACAGGGGAAGTGAACGTTACCTGAGTTAACAACAACTTTTTAAGATACATGTAATACACACAGCCATTATCTATGATTAACACAATTGTAGTAACAAATGGAAGCAACATATGGAACATAAATATGACACAGTGACGCACATATTTACAGGGGATGTGTACAAACAGTCATAATGTCAAGAAATGGTTACATTTTTGGTTTTTGAGTTTTTTGCATGGAGAGTTAATCTTCTCAGAAAGAATTGTGATGCATCTTAGAATCAATTTTACCCCCACCTTTAGTGCTATATATAATATATCATACGTCTTACCTACACAAGCTACGCAAATTACGTAGTCTTTCTAATTACGTATTTTCACAGTCTTATAATTGAAAAGTTTTATGACAAACTGACTTACTTGACTTGCAAAATTATATTTTAAATTGATAAATATCACATGTGTAATTCATGGCACAATTCCAAAAGCATCCAAATATTATTTTTTCTGGCTATGAACTATCATATTATTATATTCCGAAATAAAGTCCCATGGTGGAAGACCAGTAGAGAAGGGTCTTTGTCTCTCTAATGGCAATAAAAAGTCTAAAAATAAATTACACACAGCACCTTTAAGTGTTTGTTTTTTAGACTGCTTTTAGATCTAATATTTTTATAGAGAGTTTTTTAAATATATATATATTGACCAAGCACTTCTGCTGGTAAGAAAAGTTGTTTGCACAAACTGTATGTGTGCAGCTGTATTAGCACAGGGGCTTGCTATGTAGCAAGTGTTTGGTTACTTTTATATTTCTCTGCATTTCTTTACCCAGCAACCCCCCCTTTTTGCAATCAGCTGCAGCCCCTTCAGATTCAGTGTTTGCCTCACAAATTTGGGGACCTGTGTTACATGTCATACCTGTCTCTTCTTTCATCTCCTGTCTCCATCTTCACTGTCAAACTGTCCAATACAGGCAAAAATGCCTAAAGGAGAAGAAATAGTGTTTGAGCTAGAGATGCTCATAAATAGAGGTTCAGCCGCAGATGAGTCAAACAGGGGTGTGTGTGTGTGAATGAGTTTCATGCAGGGCAGATATATCCTGAACACACATTAATGAATGTGTGTACACAGCAGTCACATTGTTGATAAGCTCACACATTTCAACATTACTTCTCTATTGCGTTTGCAATAGAGAAGTACACAGAGATGCACTGACAGCCACTATTACATTAGCTCTCCTCAGTGGAAGACGATGTGTTAAAATCTGAGGCTCAAATTGTTTCTTAAGTAGCTGTTGTATCAGGGCTCTATGATTCTTATGTTACCAACTGAATTAGAATAAGAAGCGTTTTCAGTGGTATATCATCCTCCCCAAAACTAAAAGCTCTTCTTTGCATTCATTTTTGTATAATTACATAGTGTATAATGTATTAACCTAATGTTAACCTGACACTGAACCTGATGATGATGAACCTAATGATGTTACATACTGCTGCGTTAAGAGAATGAGGAACAATAGAGTCATCGCTAGAGATAAGAGGAAATGAACAACACTTCGATGTGGCTAGAGATGACTATTAAAGGAACACAGCACACGCACGCACACGCACACACAGGCATTCAAGGTTATAGGTTGACACGCACACACACTACAAATACAACATGTACAAACCCATCCCCAACAACAAAGATACACCTCAGATAGCTGTATGCTTTTGTATGTAAGAGTTCAAAGACTTTCTTTATGCAAAGGGAACTCTTCTGCTCCACACAAGGCAACATAGTTCTATTTTATATCATGCAGATATACTAAAAACACACTTGTTGCTGTCAAGTTCCTAACTTATGAGAAGCTTCTCGAATGCTTTGCCCAGAAGCATTCGGTAGTTAGTGATTAGCTAGCCATTAAGTTTTCAGTTGGACAGTTTGACAGTGAAGATCTATGTAACATCTATCATTTACAACACCTGCAATCAGTGAAAATCATACTTTCCCTTTGATGATGTTTTATGAAAATGAGTTAATCATTCCTCGAAACTGATATCTATTCAGACCCTTTGTAGCAAAAATAATGAAGTTCGCAGTTCTTCTTCCACTGCTATAACATTATAGGAGGAAGTGAAGTGCCAGTTAGTCATGATGTGACAGAGACTGAGAGATAACACATTACACTTTGTCATTAACACCAAGCCCAGTACATTTGATAGCACAAACACAACTACATCAGTGATTTCACTTTAATACAAAAACTTGATGACTGAATATATTTGTTGCTTTCAAATGAATATTTCCTGCAGAAAATGCCTGAAAATGTTGAAAAATGAGCTGAATCAAATACAAAAATAAAAAAACTGCATGAAAAGTATGTCTAGTATAGAATTACAATACTTGACCTTTTAAGTCATTATGAAATGCTTTATAATATATATAAGCACTCACATGTATTCATAATGCTGTATAACAATAATCATAAGTATAACAATACCGTGCTATAAGCAGATTACAACACATTATAAGTGTGTTTATAATACATTAAAGATCAGGGCATCATTGAGAGTCAGCTTCGTTCTTCTTTTCAAACACACGTTCAACCAACTTGTTGTTTCGAGCCTTTTGACCATCAAGGCCTTCCAAAATCCTTAAATCCTTTAGGGTCACCAACAAATGCTGCTGGAACAGCTATGTGACCCACCCACTGGCTACATGACTCGCCCATCATACCTACAAAGACATCCACGATCAGCTCCCTTCGCCCCTTGGCCCAGAAGCAGAAGCCCCAAAGAAAAAAGCTAAGTTAGTGATTAGCTAGCTATTAAGTATTCAGGTAAAAGAGAGGTGGTAAAGGGTGGGGTAAGGGTAATGAATTATTTGACCTCATATTTATCCACTACAGTGTCATATTGTGGGCGTCACAATGATGGGTTTGTCTTGTACAAGTGGTGGGTGGATGCAGCGTAACCTAACTTTAAATATCTTGGTGCAGTTATGGACTCCCGCGTGAGCTTCTGTAGAAATACTGAGTATATTTTCAAGAGATGCTCACAGCGACTCTATCTTTTTAGGGAACTCAGTGGCCTCGGTGACTGTCAGCAGATTTTAGAATTAGTGTACAAAACTATGGTTGAGAGTGTTTTAACTTTTCACCTCCCTGCCTGGTATGGTCATCTTAACTATGCATCCAAGACTAAACTCTCTTTTGTGACAATGGCAAGTAAAACAGTTGGCAAGCCTCAAAAGCTCCTGACCCAACTCTTTACACAGAGGATGAGGAAGAAGGCAAAGAGTATAGTAGCTGATGGCTC